AAAACTAAGCAAGTCTTGTGGAAACAAACCTATAGAATAGGATTTTTTTTTTTTTTTTGAAAATTAATAATCAATAAGAAAAAGTCACGTAATATTGTTAGAAAGCTGAAAAAATGGTTTTTAGATTTTATGAAGGAATTGGGCAAATCTCACAAAATCTGGTTTCCCTAAATTTAAGGAAATCTACTTTTATAAGAATCGTGAATGGCAATTTTTCTGGTTTTTTAAAATCAAAAACCAAAAACCACTCAAAAAACTGCTGCCATTCAAGGCCTTAAAATTTATTTTAAAAAGAGTTTATAACTTTAAAACAATCAAAATATACAAAAACTGGATAATTTTGACATTAGATTATTACAAATATATATTAATAAATTATTATTATATATTTATATTATGGGTGTATTTGGATATCCGTTTGGGTTTCGGTTCGTTTTGGGTTTGGGTTTAAATTTTCGGGTTTAAAGATATAGAATCCGTTAGGGTATTTCTATGTTTCGGGTTCGGGTTCGGATCGGGTTTTTTGGATCAGGTTTGGATCGAATTTTTGGGTTCGGGTATTTTGTCTAGGCCTATGCGCTGGATACACCTGATCATTCGGATTATCCACATTAGTGCTTCTGTAAGAGAGGTTAGGATGATTCATGTACTTCTGATTGAACCCCTTATTCTGATAGTTTCCCTGAAAGTTATAGATGTAGTTCAACTCAGCTTGAAAATCTTCTAAATCGTCTCCACTGAACTCTTGGTATACTGTAGCTTCACCACTATCATCACACTAGTTAACCATCCTCTGATTTCTCTTAAGAAGTTGCTCAATCTTGGCTGTCAACTCATCAATTTTTTTTGATTCACCTCCATCGCCTCTTTGCTACCTGTCATAGTCAATATCTTGGCTCTTGTTGCTACTTGCAAGATTCTCAATCAACAACTAAGCCTCCGTATTAGACTTGCGCAGCAGCTTGTGCAGCAGCAGCATTTGCAACAGCGTTTCCACCAGCTATTGGATTGTTCGGGTTAACATGAGGTATCTGAGGAAGTTCTTGAAACTGATTATGTTGACCGTCTTCAGCCATTTCAAAAGCTATTGCTCGTGCTAACTTTTGCTCTCTGTTTCCTCTTTTTAAATTTCCGATATCAGCTTGGTATTCTCCGAGATGTCATGAACCTTTGCTACGGGTCATACACCTATAAACACCAAAGAGAGAACGAAAGTGATAATTAGTAACTGTAAATAAAAATTGTCTTGACTAAAAACTAATCCTAAATCTTTAGGTAAAGCAATTGCTCCCCAACAGTGGCGTCAACTTGATTTCTCAAATATTTAACCCAATAATTAACCGAAAAGCAGTATATACGGGATCGATCACAAGGAGCAAAGATACTCTAAAGATTCACGATTAAGCTAAGAATGAGTCTCGGAAATCTTTAGAGTATCTTTGCTTTTGGTGATCGATCCCGCATATATTGCCTTTCGGTTAGTTTATCGGGTTAGATCGTATATGGTTGGGTCTAAAGTCATTGTTCACACCGATCATGCTACTTTGAGATACATGTTGTCTAAAAAAGACGCCAAGGCGAGACTATTGAGATGGATACTCCTGCTGCAAGAGTTGGACTAGGAGCTAAAAGAAAAGAAAGGTATTGAGAATGGGGTAGCTGACAACTTGATTTCTCGAGTATTTAACCCGATAAACTAAACGAAAGGCATCAAGGTATTTTCAGAGAATCAATGAATAACGAATAAAAGCAATAAGGAATACAAACATGAAGAACCATTCTTGAACATGAACAGAAATTTAGATTAATTCTCTATTAAGAAATTAATCACTAAATTCAACTATTCAATTACTAAATTCTCATTTGTAATTTCCTAGCCAAATTCGCATTATCAAATAGGTTCAATCACAAAGAGTTGCGGGATCGATCACTAAGAGCAAAGATACTCTTAAGATAGGTTCAATAGCAAATAGACATAGAAGAAAACATGATTCAATAGATTACATGAGAATAAGATTTAGAAATCTTCTCCAAATTGTCAAAGATGATGAATTTCTATCCCAAGTGTTTCTTACAAGTTTGAAGCTGAGTTGGATAAGTTTTGCAATGGTTTAGGCAATGCTCGTGATGTACCCCTATGGCGAGGTATAAGTGACAAGTTCAGGCCACATTTCTCTACAAAAGACACTTGGCTTCAGATACGCAACAATGGTGTAACGCTTCAATGGGATAAAGGGATCTGGTTTTCATACTCCACCCCCAAGTTCTCATTTATTTCTTGGCTGGCTACTCTAAACCGCCTTACAACAGGGGATCAAATGGGCGCTTGGAACTCAGGGATATCAGCCGGTTGTGGGCTTTGCAATGACCCGTGGGAAACCCGTGACCATCTATTCTTCTCTTGTCCCTACTCATCACAAGTATGGCACGATCTCACATCTCGCCTATTGCAAGCTCAATACACTCCGCTATTCTGGGATGTCGTCTCTCTCATCTCGGGGATCCAACTTCCTCCAACTGTTCGCTATGTCATAAGGTATGCTTTCCAGTCTACAACTCACTCGCTCTGGCGGGAAAGAAACAACAGACGTCACGGAGAAAGAACTCAGCCTACAGACCAGCTCATTCTACTCATTGATCGACATATTCGCAACCGGTGCAGCTCACTCAAAGGAGACGTCTTCAGCTCTTGGTTGGCCTCGAGATACTAAACGCTCTGTTTTTTTATTTTTCCTAATTTCTAAATTTATGAGCAAATTTTTCAATCTTACGTTGCATATATTGCAAGAACAAGGTCTCTTTTTTGGTTGAATCTAATTTTACATTCATTCAAAAAAAAAAAAGTGTTGCTTACAAGTGAAAACTCTCAGAAACTGCGGTAAAGAAAGCGTAAAATGAAAATAGGTTTCCTGGGTTTTTTTATACCCAATATAGAGCATAGCAATTAAGTCTGGTTTAGAAAACCTAATTTGGTCGTCGGGCAGATGGATCGATCGGTCCGAAGTAAGACCGATCGATCGCTTGGTCTCAGGTCTGTTCTGTGCGTGTCGATCGATCGGTCCGAGGATGAGACCGGTCGTTCTTTTTGCTTCTGGTTTTGTCCGGGTGTGGAGATCGATCAGTCCAATGGTGAAAGACTCTAAAAATACCATATATCACCCGTCGACTTGTTTAATATGCAGAAGTATGATATTCATGGAGTATGTGGATTTTTCTTTTTCTTTTCTATATTCTGCATATGTGAGATAAGGTATGTAAATTTCTTTATCTTATGTTTCATTGTACTATCGTTTTTAAGCTGAATCTTCTTTTGTTTTTTTTTTTGTTTTCTGTCGTCTAATAAATAGATCAATGTGTAAATATTAGGAGTATCAAACAATTTACATATATCTTCTACCATCACATGTTCTTTGCAGGTGGCTATTCTCCAGTTCTCAAATATCAGCATAAGAGCTTAAGGTTATTATTTAAAACCCTTTTAAGACTTTAGAATATATTTGCTTACTCATATTCCCATTATAAGAACTGGAATCACCAATCTTCAAAATCACGCCTATTCCCTGCTTAAGTTTCTCTCTTGTTCATAAATAAAGTACAGTATTTATCCTTTTTAGCATACTTTGTTCTTGAAGGAAGATGGATTCCTATAATTCATATATGGTTATTTCTAATCCAAACCAAATGGTTCAATTTGAAGATACTCAGCTTTATGGTTTCAGCTTGGAGATACTAATTTATGCTTTCCTTGTAATTTTATTTCCTATGATTGATGATGATTTGTTTCATGGACACTGAATTAGTCAGAATAAAAGTAATGGTTAGTGTAGTGTCTTTAGGTAACAGGAGGTGAGTGCATTGTTCTCATTGTGATTCCTTAATCTAATTACTCATTTGACTTATCCTTTGTATCACTTCATTGTTTGTTACTTCTTGGTTCTCTTCTGTCTTTTCTTGTTATAAACTTATGCCTATGTTTGTTTAGATTTCTCAATACTGTCATTTTTTAGAAAAAAAATGGTTGTCTTGTTTTCTCTCTTACGTGTTTCATATGATTGATGAAGGATAATTATAAATGTATCTATAGAATTGACCACTTCTTACTAATGAGTTTCTCCTGTGTTGTTTATATCAGATTCTTAGATAAGCTTATGTCTGAGAGATCTTGTTAGGATGCAATCCATCTTTATTGTGTACACAGAGGAACTTGTGTACAGCAATCGAACATTATTCTCTGTTTGAAGTTCTTATTGCTAAGTTACTTCCTTTGTTTCTCTTAAAATCTATTATGTAATACTTCTCTTTTGCATGTTCAAGCTCTGTTGGTTATCTTGTTAATTTTAGTCTTTTGCTCTTTTATTTGATACTTTTTAGTGATGTATTGTTTTGTTTATTTGTATGTAGGATACTAGTTTCTATTCTTAAGCTTGTGTCTATGCTCTGTTTCGCACTATTTGAGTACTCTCTAGAATATGACTTGGGATCTTACGACTGGCGAGGCGAGGCAAAGTGGTTCAAATCGAACCGTGAACTAAGTAAATTCTTGTGCGAAGTTTAGTTCTTTCTGTTTTTCCAAGTGATTTTCAAGATCTTACCAAGATGAAAATTAGCTACCAAGATAGAACGTACAAATGAGGATGTCTTTCTTATATATTTGACAAATTTCCAAAACTCGAAAGAGAAGCGACATTCTCAACTCAATAGCTCATAAGAATCCATCCATGTGTTAGTTGAAACTAAAAAGTAACAAGATGAGATTCAAGTGTAAATTAATTAACATTTTAAGTTTGGAATTAATGTTTAAACTAGATGAGATTTTAATTATTTATTTGGGTTCTCCAACCAAATTTACTAACCACTACTATATAACAATTGAAGTCAATTCCCCAACCACAATTATTAGACCAACAAGACAATAATTCATACATGATTAGTGATTACCAAAAATAAATAAACTAATCTTTCATATGAATATATGATGAGAGAGTTGTTATCTTCTTCTTCTTAGTACACATCTCCTAAGACATGACCAAATTATTTCTCTCCTACTCCCTCTTCTTCAATGTCTCTCTTCTCCTCCTTCTCATCGCGGCTGCCTCGACAACCGCATCTTCAAGGAATGTTACTAGTGGGCTAAGATATAACGGATGTGCCCCTGGAGTCACCATCAAAGAATGCATAACTGCGGGTATTGAGGAGATGGATGAGGAAGGAGTTAAGGCTGTGGTGCGGCGGATACTTCAACAAAGAAGGTATTTAAGCTACACAACTCTACAGAAACAGCAGACTTGTAATGGTAGAATCGCTGGTAATTGTATTGGAACTGCTAATCAAAGAGGATCGACTTGTACTTACTACCAAAGATGCAAACGTGCAGCCTAATTACTAGTTTTTTTTTTTTCTTATGTTATCTCTTTTCTTCTTAAGTATGTGTGTTTTATGATGATGTTGTGATTAAAATGTAAAAGAGTTAAAAGTAACTAATAAGACATTTAGTTGGTTTTATCATGTTGATTGAATATGATTGCCCTGAGAATAATACATGAACCGGAATTTGGAAAATTTGGTTTGGATAATGGAAATTGATTCGGTTTAATCGGTAACAATTTTGCAGATTGTTCGGTTATGTCTTTGGTTTGGTCGGATAGACTTAACCAAACTGGTGATAGATAACCGATTATAAAGGACAATACTATATACATTATATTTGAACTAAACCTAATCGACTAACCGAACGGATAACCGATAACCGATAATTTTCTTCTTGTTTCACTCGCAGGCTCGCAGCCTCTACTTATTTCCGAAGCTATGCACATATATAGACAGACCTAACAGATTATGGATAAATATAAAAACCTAAAGATACTTTGTTTACTTGAGCGATCAATTTTAAAACTGCATGGAGAGAGTCCAAGTTGAGATGCTGCATTCAAAGAGGCACTATCAAATTTGGGAAGACTCTTGAAATGATTTAGCTGATGAGAAGACAATTTACTTCAGTTGTAAAAACAACGCAAACCATAACTTTCAGAATATCCAATAATCAAATATCGATTGCTTATTTCTTAAGCTCGGAGCCATAGACGAAGCATTCCTAATTCATTTTTTTTGTCAACCACATATTTATTAAAATAACTAGATAAGGGTCCGCGTAAAAACGTGGGTTAAAATTTATGTTTTCACATATGAACTAAAAATATTGCATTTGTTAAAATTTGTGAAATTCATAATATTAACAAAAAAATATTTAATCAATATTAATTGAATATCATATTTTCTAATATAGATTAGGGCCCGTCTAGGGTTATTTATTTTAATATAAAATTAAAATAAAAATTTTATTGTAAGAATACTATATCCAAAGTATTCAAAAAAATAATTTTTTAAGTTAGTAAATTTCTTTTTGTTCAACAAAATTATTTATGTATCATACATATTTAAAAATCATTATTAAACATTCATTATAAAAATCTAGTAATGTTAAATTATCGATATCCAAAAAAATTGTGAGCTATTCACCATTTTTTATAATATTAGTATTACCAATATTTTTGAAAAACTTCATTTATATATTATACCCTAAACATGATTATACCATTATCCTAAAAATGTTATTTCCTAACTTCCAGTTTTTTTAAAAACTATTCTCGCATATTTTTTTTAATTTGCAATTTACTGTATTTCTTAAACTTAATTAATTATTACAAAATTTGATGGTAAAGTTCTTAGAAATTAACATCAATCCAAAAAAATGAGTTATAGTGTTGTTGAGATAAGTATTACGAAATTTTTTATAAATATGAAAAAATACAAAATTATAAATTTGAAAAAAAAATATTTTAGAAATCATTATATTACGAATTGTTATCCTTATTTCAAGTTAGCAATGTCACCTTTTTACTCTTTTATTCACCCTCTTATTTTAGCCAATGAGATTGCACTATGACATAAAACCTTTAGATGTAAATTAAAATTAAACAACATTTAAATGTAAATTAAAAATTAAAAAATTATAAATTTATTTTTAAAAAAATTAATAGACACATTTATTTTCTAAACCCATAATCTCGTTTAATTGTACCATCTAAATCTTAATTCTCTTTTATAAATTGAAACAAATATATAACCTTTTATAAATTGTGTAAACAAAACTCTATTCCTTATTTATAAATCTAAATCAACATAAATCCTTGTTTAATTGTAAAATCTAAACCATAAACCTAATTTATAAATCCATGCAACCATATAACATATTTAGTGGCAAAAACTAAACTTTAATCCTTCTTTATAAACTAAAATCGACATATGATCTCGTTTAATTATAAATATTAAAACTTAATCTCGTTGATAAACCCAAACCGACATAACTAAAAATTAGGATAACTAAAAAAAGGTATTTATATGGTATATATATATATATAAATTTACACACATATAAAGATAATTTGTGTCTATAAATATAAGCTTACACATATGTTTTTGTTAAATTTCAAAATTTATAGTGACTTTTTGATAAAATTATAAAGAAGAGTATTTTTAAAAAGTGGTATTGGAAAAAGGGTATTTTTGATACTCCTTAGTTATCTGAAGAAGGATTTTTAATACTCCTTAGTTGATGTCGTTGATGAAAGTATTCTTTATTAAGATGTGTTTTATTTCCTATTTAGTTGGTAAGATTTTTACTTATTTAATTGTTCAAGGCATGCATTCAAGTATGTTCAAGGTAATCGAGTGACTTTACTTTGAATAATGTCCATGTTGTCAAGATTTTAGGAGGAGATTTGCAAAAAAAAAATTTGCTTGTGGACCTTGTGATATAATCATGAAAGGAATGTTGTTGACACTATTAGGCGAATCAAGAAGGCGAAAGTGAAATCAGATTGTGTTTTTTACAAACGCATGAAAAGGTTGGTGGATATTTGAAATACTTGTTCATTACTTTTTGTTCATTACTTTCGGCTCGTGTATTGTTGACTACTAAGTTTTAACCCGCGGTACACCGCGTGACGATTGTTTTGACGAAAAAATATATATATTTAAGTTATATTTGTTAATTTTATCATCTTTTTAGTGTTTAAAATTGTGTAACTGTATTTTTGATTGTTATTTTTTTTTTTTTTGTATTGTTAAACGGTAAGATAACCCATAAGAAAATATAAAACTCAAACCCGTTAAATCATATTTATGTAAAATATAAACCTTGAATGTTTCATAGATTTCGAGAAAGATTTTGGTTTTTGGATTCCCTAAAATTTAGTAAAATTGTTTTTGTTGTAATCTTCCATTCAAGATTTTGGATTTTTAAGTTTTAGTCATATTTATAATGGTTCCGAACCATTGGTTAAAATTTTCTATCCGATGTGGGACGTTGTACATATATGTTTTTTCTTTTATCGATTGAGTAATATACGTCCGTTTTCAAAAATTCAAATTGCTACATATGCAGATTTTTTTTTTGTATTTTTATTATACTTATGTTTTATGTAACAATGTAAATTTTAAAACAAATAAGATCATATAAAGATATTGGAGAGATATTCAATTTATTAGGGAGACATTTTAGGAAATTTTGTTAAATGTAATAAATATTAGTTTCTAATTTTGCGATTCTGGTGTAATTTAATTACAAAAATTAATTTTAAAAGTTTGTTATTTATTTAAATGGCAAGGATTTATTATGCAAATAATACAAAATAAAAGGTTATTTTCCAAAAGGTACTTCAAAAATGTTAATATAGATTTTACAATTCCTATTGAATACAGTTAAACCTCTAGATATTAATTATGTTAGAACTAGGAAATTCTATTAATTTATAGATGTATTAATTTATCGTTAAATTAAAAATTATTAACTTATCGAGATATTTTCCTAATTTGGTAAGTTAAAAAAATATATACACCCAAAATTAGATAGTAATTATAATCAATATTTTTTTAGAATTAATTACAACAAAAACAACAATCATCCTAAATAAATAAGGGCTTGTTAGGTTTGTAGCAGTAGTTGACCAAATAATTAAAAGCTGAGAACCAATAAGTTGAAAATTAGATGTGCAACAATATGTGATATCATCTGACAAAAATAGTCCTATCCCTGCGGAAAAGAAGCAATGAGTGTTTGCTTAATAAGCATCTCTGACATAAGAAAATTTGGGGGAACTGTCTGACACACGCAGAGAATATTGGCAAAGATACGCACACCTCCAGCATTAAATGATGTCGATGATATCTTCAAACATATTGGATATCATTATGTTTAGTCGATATCATTATGATTAGTCAATAACTCCTCATAACAATTAGTATGTATACTAAAGTCACAAGTCTTATCATATAAATTCAAAATTGTTAGTAAATACAACAAGGTATTCACTAACTACACATTTGACCTTTTAGAAAAGTATGTAGACAAAAACATAACATTGTGGATATTAGATAACAAAAGCATTAAAAGATTATGTATTTATTATCAGGCAAAAGAGGCGAGCTATGTGATCATGATCATTCGATGATTGGCACACGTGACATCTTTTAATGAGAAATGCAATGTAACCAAACACGTGTTTTAAGTCCTAGTAATGGCTAATTTTACAAAGTAAAAATTATCGTAGGTTGATAATTTTTACAACTAATAAGTTTTACTGTCGATTAGCTTCCGGTTTAATAATTCTGATGTTATACTGGTAACTATTAGAGTGAGAAGAAATCCGGTAAATGTTATGTTATACCAATAACTAGTATAATAATAACATAGATTTATTCTGTGAAAAACTTAGATTTATTCTATTAAATCATGTACTATATATATTACAAAATCTAAACCCTAACAACTATTTTGTCAGCCCAAACCGAAATATATTTTTGTTTAATTACAAAATATAAACCCTAACCACTATTTTATCAACCCAAACCAAAATATAAGTTCGTCTAATTACAAAATCTAAACCCTAACCAATATTTTGTCAACCCAAACCGAAATATAAGTTCGTCTAATTACAAAATCTAAACCCTAACCACTATGTTGTCAACCCAAACCAAAATATAATTTTTTTAATTACAAAATCTAAACCCTAACCACTATTTTATAAACCCAAACCGAAATACAATTTTGTTTATTTATAAAACCTAAACCCTAACCTCTCTTTTATAAATCCAAACCGAAATATATTTCCACTAATTACATGGTTCATTAGTGATTAATAGCATTTGATAACTTATTTTTAAACATGTTAAATAATATGTTATCGTGGTAATATACATATTATCCGCTAAATTAATATTTATCGCGGTAGTTATGAGTTTATCAAATAACTTATGATTTATATTGTAACATATAATTAACTATAAATAATTTGACTAGATAACTACGAATTTATCAAATAACTTATATATATAACAGTGTGATATACACTAATCTCGGTCAGCGGATGATATATTTCCGATTTAGAGATCCGATGACCCGAAACCGAATTCATACGGGTACGAACAACACCTTCTACGTGAGTGTA